ATTCTGGTGATTAGTCGGGCAGGAAGCTGAAGAGGTGACTGAGCAAAGGGCAAGATACCTGGTGAGAGAAAGGGGTGGAGTTTTCTCAGGGAAGGTGGTGGAAGTTTGGAGGAGTTGGTGCGGAGGACGGGAGGGAAAGGCAATTGCAGAAATACAGATGGGCTGAAGAAGGTAGTGAGGGCTAGGACATTTGCCATAGTGCTTCTCAGTCCCGTGGCGTGTGAGGCCTGAAAGAATGAGTAGCCTTCACAAAAAAGGACAATCAAAGAGAAGTGATGTTGCTACTATTATGTAAGTTAAGGAGTGGAAACTGGGCATGGTGGCTCGTGCCTGTAATCCTAGCACTTGGGGAGGTCAAAGTAAGAGGATCACTTGGGGCTAGGAGTATAAGACAAGCCTGGTCAACAAAGTGAGATCTTTTCTCTATGGAAATAAATAAATAAATGGGAAATGTAAAATGTAGAGCACTCTTTCTTTAGAATTTTGAAGGTGCAGGGCAATTGTAGATGATGGAATGAGGTTTCCAAGGGTGCAGTGTAATGGTTAGAAGGTGCAGCAGCCAGGGTGAGTGGGATAGAAATGGAGCCTGCTGGAAGGAATTATGCACATGAGAATAAGTAAACAGCTAAAGGAGAGCAGAAATAACCAAAAGGAGAGTGCGTCCGGCTCATGACTCAAAGCAGTAGCCATGAAAGTTGTTCGGTTGAATTCCCAGATGCTGTGGAGATTCAAATTGTCATCTGCATTTGGTATAAACTAATTTTGAGACTAGGAATTGGAGCAGAATTCTGAAAAGACAGGAAAATGATTTGCTTTCTGCAATGATACTTTTAAGTCTAAGGTCAGGAAAGTGCGTCCTAAAACATTACACGAAGTTTTTTTTGTTTTGTTTTGTTTTTGTTGTTGTTGTTGTTGCCCCGTCTGGAGTGCAGTGGCACAATCTCAGCTCACTGCAACCTCCGCCTCCCAGGTTCAAGCAACTCTCCTGCCTCAGCCTCCCGAGCAGCTGGGATAGTTAGACATCTATGTTCTCATTACAGAGAAACTTGCTCAGTTGACTCTTGCTAGCCATCCAGTGGACATAGCCTTCATGAAAAACAGTGGTATTTATGGGAGGTTGGCCCTTCTTTTTTCAAAGTTCTCTTGTTCCCTTTTTATAATGAAGCAGGATGATTATGCTCACTGCATCAAAGTAAAAACTAACAGAACAGGATAAATAGATCTGTGGTTAAATCCTCTTTCTTAATAGGAAAAGAGCTGGAGGGAGGAAGGAAGGAAGAAATCAAAATCAATAGCAAAAAATAAAAACAAGTGAGAATCAAAACGTCTATCTCTTTACCATCATGATTTTTAGAGGCAAGCAGCAGAATAGAGCAAGTGCAGAAATTCCCCTCTTACCAAGAAGATACATTATTTCCTATAACTTAAGTTTCTACCAATTAGAGACTAATTCGCTCGTAGATGTAAATTTCCTACCAACCAGATTTGAGAGAATAGGAAATTGCCCAGTTATTGGTCATCAGGATCTCATGGTAACTCTTTTTGATCGGATTCCTTTCTTCCTAAACTTTAGGTGAATTGTACGTAGATAAATTGTATGCCAGTACAGTTTCTCCAAATTTTTCTTAGTACTGAGCACTGTAGAAGAGGGAATTTTAAAATGGTCATTTCAACAGGCAAGGATCTGTGTCAAGCACAGACCCTTATAGAAACATAAAGATATTTTGAATTTTGAAAAACAATATGACTGCATCATTAGACAGAATGTAACATACGTAAGGGGGCACAAACTCAGAGGGCACCATACACTTAGATAAACTGGGTGACATGTGACTTGTTGTCTGGAACACACCAGCCCCGTTCCCTCCAAATTCTTGGTTGGCCTCTGTTGAGCCAGCCTCATTTTAGCCTGCGCCTCCTGATTTTAGGAGAGTACTTATTTCCAGTGATGTTTACAAAACGGGGCATACAAGCATTAATTGTGAACAATGATTTCAGTCTTCATCTAGCTTAACTGCAAAACATGAAAAGACTTTCACAAATTTTTCTCCAACTACAGTTTCTGAGAATGCTTAAATGAAGCCACCACATTTGTAACTTTATCAGGTTACTGCTCGTCATCTCTACCACCATGTGACTGAATTTCTGGTCTTTGTCCTGCCGATTGAATTCTGTTCTCTTAAGAGCTACTGTAGCTGAAAGGTATTTCCACATGCTTCTGATTCTCTTCCCTGTATCACGTTATTCCCAGCATGAATCAGACACTTTGTGATACCTTCAAATGACACCGTGGAAAAGGCTGAGAGTGTTTTATTTTACATGTATTTTAATAATTGCATATTATCATATAAATTTGTAATAAATATGCACTGTATCAATATATGAAATTTTTAAAAATATGCATTGTACATGTATATTTCAATTTGTTGAAAGGTTACATGAATACATGCAAAAGTGAAAATTTTAAAGACAACAAATAAGTATTCAGTGAAAATTATATTTTCTTTCTGCCAATGACTTCTGGCCCCTTGCTTCTGCACCCAAGATGTAGTCCCACATACCAAGTTTTTGTGTAAACATCCATTGGATAATATGGGCATATGCTAAAATCGGTAATAACTTTCCTTTTTAATGCAACTTGAATCTTATACACACTATTCTCTATTTTGCATTTTTTACCTTATCGTGTAAGTCAGTTTGTCTTGGTACGTACAGAGCCTCCTTGTTCTTTTTGACAGCTGTAACTGCATACTATTTCATTCAATGGAGTTACCATTATTTATTTATAAATCCCCTATTGCTGGATGTTCAGGTTGTTTCTTAGTCTTTTAAACTCAGAAGCAATAATACATATACATTCTCGTACATATGTTTCCATGCACATCTAATCTATAGCCAAGTGGAATTCTCTACCAAAATATGTCTATTTAAATTTTTATAACTTTTGACAAATTGTACCTCATAAGAGTTTCTACTCCCTGCAACATGTGAGTATAGTTCTACACCTTCTAACACTACACTTTCTGATCCTTACTAATTTATAAGAAAATAAAAATTTATACTTTTAATTTTGATTTGGGACATTTTCCTCTTTGAGTTCAATTTATCTTTAAATCCATGGGAGCCATCTGCTCCTGTGCCTTGACCATATTTCTACTGGATGATTTTGTTTTATTTCAGTGACTTGTATGAGATTTTTAAATTAAGAAAATTAGCTCTTTCCCTCCCGTAAGTGTTGCAATATCTATTGCCTGTCATTTGACTGTGTTCATATATTTATAATTTTTTCAGGCTCAACCCAAGGGAGCCAAAAATAAGAGAATAATTTACAACTATTATTACAGGGGACACTGTGGGAGAACCACTGTCTCTAACATTACACCTCTATTTCCAGCTCTTTTGAGGGCCCACAAACCCTTTCATCATGGGAGAGCCCTATCATCTCAGACTCTCACTTGTCATAGTGTTTATCTATATAGACATATGGCTTAAGTCTTCATTCAGCTGAATTGCAAACAAGAGACTTGTACCATGATGCTCTCCAACAAGAGTCTTCAAGAATGTTTAAATAAATATACCATATGTAATGTTGATTAAGCCCCTGATTATGAAGACCTGACCTGGAATGAAACCAGAGAGAATAGAAATGAGAGGCACTATTCATAAATAATTGACAATGCCCAGGGGGTGACCAGGTAAACCCACAGGGATAATGTGAAGAGTTAGGGATGGCTCCATTGCCGGGCTCTGAGATAATGCCATGGCAGAGCTATTTCTTGTAGAGAGTTAAGGCTCACAGTGAGAAAGGAAGAACCAAATTTTTTACATAAAATTTATTTGATGCTTATTTATGTGGTCAGTTTTGTGATAGTTTACTTAAGGCATATGTTGAAAAAACAACTAAAAGATAACCCTGTAGGCGAAGTGAGGCCAGTTAGCCTGAACTGTAAAGACCTATTGTATTGCAAACACCATAGTAACCATGTTTCAATAGTGTTGAGATTTCTTATCTAATTAGATCACTTCGTGAGGCCAAATGATTGTGCCCTGATGATTTGAAAGCCAGATATCATTCTGTTGCCTCTGCCAAGTAGTTTGCACCAGATGTTGAGACCTGACTGCACAGAGAAAGCGACCTAACGTCTGTGGCAAACCCATATTGTACCTGCTTCGTGTGAGATCTTACTAGCTTGAGCCCTTCTTTATTTCTGTGGAATTGTTGTGTGGCTGGAAGAAATGCCTCCTCAGCCATGCTCTGAGAAGTCTGTGATGTTAACAGAGTTGCTAGAGAATGAATGGAAAGCTAAGAACAGTAATCCATATATTTTTTCTAAAAGAAAAGAATTTTGACACAGAGCATTTCTGAAGGCAATATGCTATTCACTAGGACATGCAGCAAAGCACCTGGTACTGAGCCATCTGCCAGTAAAAACGAATGAATAATGAGTGGGGATGAACACAGCAATGAGGAGAGAGAGAGGCTTGTCTATGATAGGATCTGGCTAATGAGTTAGCACTCATGAAATTTCCATGAATAACTGGGGGTTTCAAATATTTACCGGTTACCCATCCTCTTCTTGACCTCTATAATAAGAAATACGTCAGAATCTAGTCTATATACGTTTGTTAACCACGAGACTCCAAAATGGTCATTAATCTCTAATAGATGGTGGGCCTAATTTTGTCTCCATGCTTATTTACTATGGTTAACAAATGTATTTACAAGATCCCATACCAGAGTGAATAAGAGTGTCAGGGTCTATTCAAGAACCATCTCTCAACCAGACGCAGTGGCTCACTGCTGTTAATCCCAACACTTTGGGAGGCCAAGGCAGGCAGATTACGAGGTGAGGAGATCGAGACCATCCTGGCAAACACAGTGAAACCCTGCCTCTACTAAAAATACAAAAAATTTAGGGGTACGCACCTATAGTTCCAGCTACTGGGGAGGCTGAGACAGGAGAATCACTTGAACCCAGGAAGCAGACATTGCAGTAAGCCGAGATCTCGCCACTGTACTCCAGCCTGGGCAACAAAGGGAAATTCTGTCTCAAAATAAAAATAAAAAATAAATTAAAAGAACCATCTCTCAGTCACCTATCTCAGTTGAATTTAATTAAAATTATCTGAGTCTTAGCTCCAAAGTGAGTCCATTTATAAAAAATACCATTTTTTGCAAGCTAACTAATTTTATTGCCCTTCAAAATTAATGTTGGTGAATTTCTTGGTTTAGAAAGTAAAAGTGAACTCCTCATCCATCTAATCACTTGGCTCCTTTAGCCATGGTTTCACTATTTAATGTTATCCAAAGACACATCACAAAATTATCTACTTACCTATTTCATCTGACATGGTGTCTGCAGCTGTTTATTATTAAATTATAAATGAAATCAGAGTTATACCTCTAAAAAATATGGACAGTATTCTCTGTTGAGCTCATCTATCCCTAAAACCCCCAGTCCCTCAGTACATACAATGGAATTCCCATTTTACTCTGAGTGCCATGCTCCATTAATCCGCAAATCTCAAAGTGTATCTGACAGGAGTGATGTTGCACATTATAAAATAAGATTTCTCAAATGCTGCCCATCTGTTAGTGATACAGGCAATCTACGTGTCCTATATATAGAACATACATACACTTCCTGCATTGCATATTCTTTCAAATATTTGCTCTTGGCATTGCTAGGTGTCCTACTGTCATAACAGACAAGTCATTCATTAAGCTGTCAGCACCTTGCTACCCTGCTCCCAAAGAAGGTCCATTTCTGTGTTTTCTGTTTCTTGCTGGATGACCTATTCACTCATCATGAGCTGAGCAGTTACTCTCATAACGGGTGCAACTGAGTTGTTCACGTCAACATATGTAAACCAAAGCTCTACTTCTTCATTTCCTGCGGTCCAACACTTGACTTGTGGAGGGCACTAATGGATTGGAAAGCCAGCCTGCAGTCATGAGTTAAGTTGGTGTCAATGTGATACACTTCTTGGCTGAGACATCTAAGGAAGGGACATTAAAAGCAAAAAAGTGGAACAAACAAGTAACAAGAAAAAATTGTAAACACTGTTTGAAAATCTGAAAGGGAATCAAGAAAGGCAATTAGCTACACAGACCTATACGTTGGAACTATTTGGAACCGAGTATATGGGAAATTCCAAAATTATATTAAAATCTAAAGCATCTAGTATAGCACATATTTGTAAAATGAAAAATAATAAAAATTGATTTTTAGAAAATTAGAGCTAAGCCCTACTGATTTTTATCTTTGATTTTGTTGTTTATATTTTAAGAGGTCTTGTGTTTATGAGAAATTTAGTATTCACTAGAAAAGTAGAAAGATAATCAATTTTTAACTAATTGAAAGAGCTTAAAATATAGTTTCCTAAACATCCAAGCCCTTATCTTTCTTCTTGACCTCTTGCCTAATCCGTGATTATTTTTATTCTAGAGAGTAGAAGATGGAAAGAGAGAGAGAGAAACGGACGGATGGACAGAAGGAAGGAGGGAAGGCAAGGTAAGATTGATTTAAATTGGCCAATTTGGCTTATAATTAACAACTTTGATTTGTGCTTGACAGAAAGAAGATTAAAATCATTAATTTTGGCCAGGTGTGGTGGTTCATGCCCCTAATCTCAGCCCTTTGGGAGGTTGAGGCAGATGGATTTCTTGAAGCCAGGAGTTTGAGACCAGTCTGAGCAACATAGATGAACTGATAATCTATATATCCCAGTTAAATATGAATCCCATATTATCAACTCTAATAGAGATGAAAAGGTTGATGATAAAATATGGTAACAGAAAAACACTCTCTCAACCATCTTTCTACTGTATAAATGCTTGGTTTTACCACAGAAAACCAAAATAAAGCTTGTGATGCATGATGTTACATAGGATTTATTATTCTGAATATATATTGGCACAGGACTAGGAAAGACCACCTCACTAATCAGTTAAGTCATTGCATATTTTATGACATATACTTTATCCTACTTGCTTCAAGTTTGGTTGTAAAGAAAGTGATATATCCTAGAGGAATGGAGACAAAAAGCTAATTTATATCAGGGACAGCCATCCAAATCCCACAAACACAAATGAAAAAAAGTGAGAGACTCAAAGAAAATCATATTAATTCATCTAAGTAGTATTGCTTTTCTGTAGCACAATGCATGTAGAATATCATGGTCCATGTAATTTTAACTTACATTTTCTTCTTCATCCTTTCCAAATGAGACCATTTTATTTTTTGAGAAAAACGGGACAAAATCATTGTTATTTTATATTGCCTCCATTTGTTAAGGTATAGAAACTTAGTTTCACACAGCCATTGACCACCAAAATGACACCCCACCTTGATTTAAAGATTTAGTCATAGCAATGTAAGTGACAGACCCCAAAGCCCCAAGAAAGGAGTCAGTCACAGCAAGTTTTTGCTGTATGTGTGTGTGCATGTGTATATGTAACAATATCATGTATCAGGTTAAGTTGCATTTCTTATTTTGTGATGAAATGTATATGCATCTGATCATATATGTTAATATAATTATCTGTTGATTAAAATGCTGGTCAGAAATTCTATATGTAGACAGCATTTGGTTGAGCTAAGACCTTGAAATCATTTTCTCCGTAAAGATGGAATTGTCTTCTGTCATATAGCTAATATAGCTAATGGTTTCTGGAGTTTAGATAAGAATATGAACAAAGGTAAGAACGTCATTAAAATTGTTTAAGAAATATTAGTTTCAAAATGACCATTTAAATAACAATGATTAAAATAAAGTACTTGAAAAATTACATGTTTGGGATAGAATTAAAAAATCAAACGAGGGATGAAAAGGAAGAGTGGAGAAAGCTAGCCACAAACTTTACCTGTCTGTTTGGTTTCAGGTAATCCTTACAAGTGCCAACAGAATGGAGAGGGATTGCTATTTCTAGAAAAAAAAAAAAAAAAGAGAGAGACTCAGAAACAATCTACGGTTGATCTTGTCTATTATCCAAGTGATATTTGATATAGCATTTTTCTGTTTTATTGAATTTCTGATATATTATTTATATGTTATGGGTTTTTTTTAGATTTATGGTACTATTTTAAGTCTGTTAGAATTATATATACTTTTTTTTTTAAATTTATTTATTATTATTATACTTTTTTAGGTTGTAGGGTACATGTGCATAACGTGCAGGTTTGTTACATATGTATACTTGTGCCATGTTGGTGTGCTGCACCCATCAACTCGTCATTTACATCAGGTATAACTCCCAATGCAATCCCTCCTCCCTCCCCCCTCCCCATGATAGGCCCCGGTGTGTGATGTTCCCCTTCCTGAGTCCAAGTGATCTCATTGTTCAGTTCCCACCTATGAGTGAAAACATGCGGTGTTTGGTTTTCTGTTCTTGTGATAGTTTGCTAAGAATGATGGTTTCCAGGTGCATCCATGTCCCTACAAAGGACACAAACTCATCCTTTTTGATGGCTGCATAGTATTCCATGGTGTATATGTGCCACATTTTCTTAATCCAATCTGTCACTGATGGACATTTGGGTTGATTCCAAATCTTTGCTATTGTGAATAGTGCTGCAATAAACATACGTGTGCATGTGTCTTTATAGCAGCATAATTTATAATCCTTTGGGTACATACCCAGTAATGGGATGGCTGGGTCATATGGTACATCTAGTTCTAGATCCTTGAGGAATCGCCATACTGTTTTCCATAATGGTTGAACTAGTTTACAATCCCACCAACAGTGTAAAAGTGTTCCTATTTCTCCACATCCTCTCCAGCACCTGTTGTTTCCTGACTTTTTAATGATCGCCATTCTAACTGGTGTGAGATGGTATCTCATTGTGGTTTTGATTTGCATTTCTCTGATGGCCAGTGATGATGAGCATTTTTTCATGTGTCTGTTGGCTGTATGAATGTCTTCTTTTGAGAAATGTCTGTTCATATCCTTTGCCCACTTTTTGATGGGGTTGTTTGTTTTTTTCTTGCAAATTTGATTGAGTTCTTTGTAGGTTCTGGATATTAGCCCTTTGTCAGATGAGTAGATTGCAAAATTTTTCTCCCATTCTGTAGGTTGCCTGTTCACTCTGATGGTAGTTTCTTTTGCTGTGCAGAAGCTCTTTAGTTTAATGAGATCCCATTTGTCAATTTTGGCTTTTGCTGCCGTTGCTTTTGGTGTTTTAGACATGAAGTCTTTGCCCATGCCTATGTCCTGAATGGTACTACCTAGGTTTTCCTCTAGGATTTTTATGGTATTAGGTCTAACGTTTAAGTCTCTAATCCATCTTGAATTAATTTTCGTATAAGGAGTAAGGAAAGGATCCAGTTTCAGCTTTCTACTTGTGGCTAGCCAATTTTCCCAGCACCATTTATTAAATAGGGAATCCTTTCCCCATTTCTTGTTTCTCTCAGGTTTGTCAAAGATCAGATGGCTGTAGATGTGTGGTATTATTTCTGAGGACTCTGTTCTGTTCCATTGGTCTATATCTCTGTTTTGGTACCAGTACCATGCTGTTTTGGTTACTGTAGCCTTGTAGTATAGTTTGAAGTCAGGTAGCGTGATGCCTCCAGCTTTGTTCTTTTGACTTAGGATTGTCTTGGAGATGCGGGCTCTTTTTTGGTTCCATATGAACTTTAAAGCAGTTTTTTCCAATTCTGTGAAGAAACTCATTGGTAGCTTGATGGGGATGGCATTGAATCTATAAATTACCTTGGGCAGTATGGCCATTTTCATGATATTGATTCTTCCTATCCATGAGCATGGCATGTTCTTCCATTTGTTTGTGTCCTCTTTTATTTCACTGAGCAGTGGTTTGTAGTTCTCCTTGAAGAGGTCCTTTACATCCCTTGTCAGTTGGATTCCTAGGTATTTGATTCTCTTTGAAGCAATTGTGAATGGAAGTTCATTCCTGATTTGGCTCTCTGTTTGTCTGTTACGGGTGTATAAGAATGCTTGTGATTTTTGCACATTAATTTTGTATCCTGAGACTTTGCTGAAGTTGCTTATCAGCTTAAGGAGATTTTGGGCTGAGACAATGGGGTTTTCTAAATATACAATCATGTCATCTGCAAACAGGGACAATTTGACTTCTTCTTTTCCTAACTGAATACCCTTGATTTCTTTCTCTTGCCTCATTGCCCTAGCCAGAACTTCCAACACTATGTTGAATAGGAGTGGTGAGAGAGGGCATCCCTGTCTTGTGCCAGTTTTCAAAGGGAATTTTTCCAGTTTTTGCCCATTCAGTATGATATTGGCTGTGGGTTTGTCATAAATAGCTCTTATTATTTTGAGGTACGTTCCATCAATACCGAATTTATTGAGCGTTTTTAGCATGAAGGGCTGTTGAATTTTGTCAAAAGCCTTTTCTGCATCTATTGAGATAATCATGTGGTTCTTGTCTTTGGTTCTGTTTATATGCTGGATTATGTTTATTGATTTGCGAATGTTGAACCAGCCTTGCATCCCAGGGATGAAGCCCACTTGATCATGGTGGATAAGCTTTTTGATGTGTTGCTGAATCCGGTTTGCCAGTATTTTATTGAGGATTTTTGCATCGATGTTCATCAGGGATATTGGTCTAAAAGTCTCTCTTTTTGTTGTGTCTCTGCCAGGCTTTGGTATCAGGATGATGTTGGCCTCATAAAATGAGTTAGGGAGGATTCCCTCTTTTTCTATTGATTGGAATAGTTTCAGAAGGAATGGTACCAGCTCCTCCTTGTACCTCTGGTAGAATTCAGCTGTGAATCCATCTGGTCCTGGACTTTTTTTGGTTGGTAGGCTATTAATTATTGCCTCAATTTCAGAGCCTGCTATTGGTCTATTCAGGGATTCAACTTCTTCCTGGTTTAGTCTTGGAAGAGTGTAAGTGTCCAGGAAATTATCCATTTCTTCTAGATTTTCCAGTTTATTTGCGTAGAGGTGTTTATAGTATTCTCTGATGGTAGTTTGTATTTCTGTGGGGTCGGTGGTGATATCCCCTTTATCATTTTTAATTGCGTTGATTTGATTCCTCTCTCTTTTCTTCTTTATTAGTCTTGCTAGTGGTCTGTCAATTTTGTTGATCTTTTCAAAAAACCAACTCCTGGATTCATTGATTTTTTGGAGAGTTTTTTGTGTCTCTATCTCCTTCAGTTCTGCTCTGATCTTAGTTATTTCTTGCCTTCTGCTAGCTTTCGAATGTGTTTGCTCTTGCTTCTCTAGTTCTTTTAATTGTGATGTTAGAGTGTCAATTTTAGATCTTTCCTGCTTTCTCTTGTGGGCATTTAGTGCTATAAATTTACCTCTACACACTGCTTTAAATGTGTCCCAGAGATTCTGGTATGTTGTATCTTTGTTCTCATTGGTTTCAAAGAACATCTTTATTTCTGCCTTCATTTCGTTATGTACCCAGTAGTCATTCAGGAGCAGGTTGTTCAGTTTCCATGTAGTTGAGCAGTTTTGATTGAGTTTCTTAGTCCTGAGTTCTAGTTTGATTGCACTGTGGTCTGAGAGACAGTTTGTTATAATTTCTGTTCTTGTACATTTGCTGAGGAGTGCTTTACTTCCAATTACGTGGTCGATTTTGGAGTAAGTACGATGTGGTGCTGAGAAGAATGTATATTCTGTTGATTTGGGGTGGAGAGTTCTATAGATGTCTATTAGGTCTGCTTGCTGCAGAGATGAGTTCAATTCCTGGATATCCTTGTTAACTTTCTGTCTCGTTGATCTGTCCAATGTTGACAGTGGAGTGTTGAAGTCTCCCATTATTATTGTATGGGAGTCTAAGTCTCTTTGTAAGTCTCTAAGGACTTGCTTTATGAATCTGGGTGCTCCTGTATTGGGTGCATATATATTTAGGATAGTTAGCTCTTCCTGTTGAATTGATCCCTTTACCATTATGTAATGGCCTTCTTTGTCTCTTTTGATCTTTGATGGTTTAAAGTCTGTTTTATCAGAGACTAGGATTGCAACCCCCGCTTTTTTTGTTCTCCATTTGCTTGGTAAATCTTCCTCCATCCCTTTATTTTGAGCCTATGTATGTCTCTGCGTGTGAGATGGGTCTCCTGAATACAGCAGACTGATGGGTCTTGACTCTTTATTCAGTTTGCCAATCTGTGTCTTTTAATTGGAGCATTTAGTCCATTTACATTTAAGGTTAAGATTGTTATGTGTGAACTTGATCCTGCCATTATGATATTAACTGGTTATTTTGCTCGTTAGTTGATGCAGTTTCTTCCTAGCCTCGATGGTCTTTACATTTTGGCATGTTTTTGCAATGGCTGGTACCGGTTGTTCCTTTCCATGTTTAGTGCTTCCTTCAGGGTCTCTTGTAAGGCAGGCCTAGTGGTGACAAAATCTCTAAGCATTTGCTTATCTGTAAAGGATTTTATTTCCCCTTCACTTATGAAACTTAGTTTGGCTGGATATGAAATTCTGGGTTGAAAATTCTTTTCTTTAAGAATGTTGAATATTGGCCCCCACTCTCTTCTGGCTTGGAGAGTTTCTGCCGAGAGATCTGCTGTTAGTCTGACGGGCTTCCCTTTGTGGGTAACCCGACCTTTCTCTCTGGCTGCCCTTAAGATTTTTTCCTTCATTTCAACTTTGGTGAATCCGCAATTATGTGTCTTGGAGTTGCTCTTCTCAAGGAGTATCTTTGTGGCGTTCTCTGTATTTCCTGGATTTGAATGTTGGCCTGCCCTACTAGGTTGGGGAAGTTCTCCTGGATGATATCCTGAAGAGTGTTTTTCAACTTGGTTCCATTTTCCCCCTCACTTTCAGGCACCCCAATCAGACGTAGATTTGGTCTTTTTACATAATCCCATACTTCTTGCAGGCTTTGTTCATTTCTTTTTCTTCTTTTTTCTTTTGGTTTCTCTTCTCGCTTCATTTCATTCATTTGATCCTCAATCGCTGATACTCTTTCTTCCAGTTGATCGAGTCGGTTACTGAA